CGTAAATGTTGAATTTGATGGGAATTACTCAACTTCTAAATTGCAAATAAGTAGTGGATTATGATGGCCAACAAAGTGAAGGCTGCTTCCGCCATGCTACCCCGTCTATCACTATGCTCGTTCGTCTACCGCTATGCTAGTCTGATTGGTGCTATGGTAGACCGACTACCGCTGTGCTAGTCCAATGGCCACTTGACTGCCACTATAGTAGACCGACTACTGTTATATTATCTTGAATTCCATTATGCTAGATGACTCTCACTATAATAGATCGGTTATCACGACTATCAATTGTCTGGACATCTTTTTTTAATTGATTGATAACTGCTTGACGATTATCATTTATCCACTAACCACCTGATGAGTGAAAACAATCAACTCAGGCTATGGACGAAAACTGTTCGTTGAATGGACATGCTACACTAGACCACAAACAGTAACTTTCTGACGATTACACTACATCAAACACTTATAAATCCTCTAGAAGTGTGCCAAGGATGGGGGTCTATTTTTTTTTTCGTAACATATATTCTTTCTATTTTCACAAGTCATTTATTCGAAACTCATTACTAATTTTCATGTCCGAGGTGCAAAGGGGGAGAAAGTCGCAGCCTTTTATGCAGGTGTTCAGTTGCTCATAAGAACAATCGTCCTTGCTCCGCTACGGAAGTCCAAAGGTCATTTCAATATTTTTTTTCATTTGTGCCGTTTATGGGAAACATTGAACGTAAAAATTATGTCAAAAAGATGAACGAGGAGCGATATACGCTTGGTCAAAAATACTGTGGAGTTAAAGTTCGTCGCCCAGGGTCATGAACCGCCACTGTAACAATCTCAATATGTAACGCAGAGTCAATTTAGCACCCTAGAGATGGCTTACATGATGATCCTTTGCAAAGTTAAACACAGAGAGCGATGAATTTATCCCATAATCCACTAGGAATTCCGCCATAAGATATATGTGAGCAGCTATCCCAGGTGGTTCAAACAGTTGCACCACTATTTATTCAGGAAATAGTTTCAAACCAAGGGTCCCATGAAATAGGGATGTAAACGAGATGGCTGAGCTTTTTTGCAGGCTCGATTTGCTCGGCCAAAAAAAATAGGCTCGGCCCGAGCAAAAAGCTCGGGCTTTTTCCGGGCCGAGCCGAGCAGGCTCGTTTTCTCCCATTTTTAAAATTTTTTCCCCTAAGAGGCAGCAGCTTCGCTGCCTTTTAAGCCTCGATATATATATATATATATATATATATATATTTTTTTTTTTAGCTCGTGAGCTCACGAGCCGGCTCGGGCAAAGCAGGTGTCCCTAAAATGGGGCTTGGGTCTACCGAGCCTCGAGTCAAGCCGGCGAGCTCGATTGCTATCTCTACCATGAAATCACGCATCCACACTCCTATTGTAGATTTGGAACGGAAGATGGAGAAAATGATGGCCCAGAAGAATGATGATGCATTGTCAAGGAGAAAGGATACACATAGGCAGATGATCTTGGAGAAAGACCCCTTCGCCTCGGAAAGCATGGTAGTTCCTATACCAAAAGACTCGTATTCGAAGATAGAGGCGTATGATGGAGTCATGGATCCACTTGATCATATATGGACCTTCGTTGACTCAAATATACAGTCGCAGTTGCAGTGATATGTTGATTATTTTCACCGATAATAAGGAGAGAAGCTAGAAAGGATAGCAACTCTGGCATCTTGGTCTATCAGGACCTTTGTTGAGGTCTTTAGGAGCTTTGTAGCCTATTTCTTAAGTAGCAAGAGAAAGAGAAAGACCACCATAGAATTGGTGCAGGTGACGTGAAGAAAGATGAACCTTATAAGAATATTTAGCTAGATTCAGTCGGACTACACTTGGCATAAAGGACCTCCAAATGTCTACTGTGGTAACCGCATTGATGAACGGAATGCGAAATCGAGCATTTAGATGTCACTTTCATAAAACTCCCCAAAATCGATGCATACTAAGTCCTTAATTCTAAATAAGCTTTATCTAAACAGATAGACTTAATCTACAACCCTTGAGACTTTTTTTTTTTTTTTT